TATGGAACTGGGTGCATTTTACTATTTTATCATCTAGTGCATTATGCTTATCATAGAACCAAATATTTGGAATTGAAATCTATATGCTAGAAAAGTCTCCAAATACCCTCAACTGCTTGTTTTTAATAGTTTCTATAACTTATACTATTCCTTCATAACATATTTGAAGTACTTACAGTTTAGCTAACACCTTACATATGCTAAATAATTTTATTTTGAAACAAACAAGAAAACACCTGGTATATATAAAGGAGGAAAGTCTGGTAAAGAGACTCTTTTTGTGAAAGCAAATGTCATCTTACTAGGACTTTTTCCTTTACATTTTAGTGGGAGAGTTCAGTTTGGTTTAAACGTAATAAAGTTTTATGATAGACCATAGAACACTAAAAACTCAAAAGTTTAAACTAAGTTCTGTATCTGCTCTAATTTCTCTTTGTTACATGCAGCTGAACCATCCGGTGCTTTGTATCAGAGGAAGTGAGTCCTTTCTAACAGATGCTCCAATGGGCAAGGCACTCTCTGATGAATACGCATGCTCTTTCTGCACCTCTCAGCTATTATTCCAGAACAAACATAAACGGCTGTGTGTGATGATTTGGGGACTTGAAGCATACCGTGCCTGGTTCGCCTCCTTCATTTTCATCAGATTGTTAAGTTTAAGGGGTGGTGGTGGAGGAGGAATATTTTGTGGTTTTCTGGTAGCTTAAACAAACCCAGAAGTGTGTGATAACAAGGGATGTGAATATGATTTTCAACTCCTTAGCACCAACTCAATCACACTGGTGCCTCTCACCTCAGTCTCCTTTAAGAAAACTTTGTGTGATCTCCTTACTTATAATTGCTGAGTAGTATTCCACTGTGTAAATGTACTGCAATTTCTTGTTTCTGTTAATTTTTTATTTTTTATATTAATTAAATTTATTTACTTTGTATCCCTGCTAACCCCTCCCCCATTCCCTCCCAATCCCCCTCTATCTCCCTCCCTGCCCCTCTCTAAGTCCAACTGATAGGAGAGGTACTCCTCCCCTTCTATCTGACCCTAGCTTATCAGGTCTCATCAGGACTGGTGGCAATGTCCTCCTCTGTAGTCTAGCAAGGTTATTCCTCTCTTGGTGGGTGAAAGAGGTCAAAGAGCCAGGCACTGAGTTCATTTCAGATACAGTCCCTGTTCTCTTTACTGGGGAACCCACTTGGATACTGAGCTGCCATGGGCTACATCTGAGCAGGGGTTCTGGGTTATATCCATAAATGGTCCTTGGTTAGAGAATCAGTCTCAGAAAAGACCCCTATGCCCAGATATATTTGGTCCTTATGGAGCTTCTGTCCTCTCTGGATCTTACTAACTTCCCCTTTCATATGATTCCCTGCACTCTGCCCAAAGTTTGGTTATGAGTTTCAGCATCAGCTTTGATACACTGCTAGGTAGAGTCTTTCAGAGGCCCTCTAAGGTAGGCTCCTGCCCTGTTTCTTATTTTCTCATACTTCCAATGTCCATCCCATTAGTCTTTCTAAGTGAGAATTGATTATCTTACCCTGGGTCCTCCTTCTTGTTTAAATTCTTTAGGTGTATAGATTTTAGTATGTTTATCCTATCTTAGTACTTGAAGCTAGCTAGCTTCAAGTTATTGCTCCTAGCTAGAGCAATAAGACAACTAAAGGAGAACAAGGGGATACAAATCAGAAGGGAAGAAGTCTAAATATCACTATTCCTAGATGATATGATAGCATTCATGAGCGACTCTAAAAATTCAACCAGAGAACTCCTTCAGCTGATAAACACCTTCAGCAAAGTGGCTGGATATAAAATTAACTAAAAAAAAAAAAAAAAAAAATCAGAAGTCCTACTGCATTCCAAAGACAAAAGGGCTGAGATAGAAATTAGGGAAACAACACCTTTCACAACAGCCACGAACAACATAAAGTACCTTGGAGTAACTCTAATCAAGCAAGTGAAAGACCTATTTGAAAAAAAAAAAAAAAAAAAAAAAAAAAAAAAAAAAAAAAAAAAAAAA